ATGACTGAGCAGATATTATTGGTCATATTTGTTGAGAAGAAGACAATGCGAATATCCTGGCCAATCGAGAAAGCAACTCGTCACCACTTTTTGTCCTAATCGTGATTCTTTTGTCGTTGGACAAACATTACCACCTTTTTTTATGAGATTTATGAAAAGAGATATTTTTTGTTTCATCGAGGCTATACTGCGCACACAATGAGTTAACAAATCATAAAGAAATAGCCATGCCGTAAGGAAAGAAGTTAAGAGAAAGATCATATTGTATGAAAGTATGTCTTTATATAATTCCAATATCCAAGATTGATTAATATACTTCAAAGCAAGGACATGCATCCATAATTCTCTTTACTTCACATCTCAGGATGGCAGAACTTCTTTTAAATACACCTTGTTCCAACGTATTTCAACCGTAACTCACGTATATGGTTCATCTAATCTAGAAAGCAAGTCAGGTAATATGAGAGATTTTGATCTCAGATTCATGCTTTTATCTAGATGAGGAAATTTGCTAAAAATGGCGCCATATCTTTACGACACAAACAAAAAGCAGGTATATAATGTACACACACCTCTAATGTTTTACATCATATTATCGAAGATTGCTTTTGTACTTCCAGTCATGCACTATATTCTTTAAAATTCGTACTGAACATTTAAGAAGAAAATTCATCATCATTGAATGGGGCACTATTGAACGCCCAGACACCATAAGGATATACCGAAGCTACTTGTCTTATGACCATCACAATTGTTGCGTCTTTATCAGACACACTAAGAGTGTGGCAGTGGAATAATGAGGATGTAACTTAAGACAAAAGCGGGGAGAATTGAATAACAAATTGTTGTTATTTTTTATCTCCTTGTATTAATTGAAAGTTCATATACTTTTCGGAATGCATAAACATTCCATTTTTTCTAACTCTCCCCAACGAATCCGCGGTGAAGACAAAACTTTGAAGTATAAAGCGAGAACGTCTGTAAGAATAATCACTGTTTCGTTCTGAAGTTTCTGTAAATTTGCACTTTATCGACTAAGACCTTTGAAACGCGTTGCTGCTAATTGAGATATACAAGAGCGGATGTACATTTTGAAACATATACCTGTTTAAGCGGTTGACTCTTAACTCTTAGCTATAATAACGTCTTATTTTTTTATCTCACATGAGATGGAATTTTAACTGGTTTTGAAATACGTGGTAACAGTCGAATGTCTAACAAATTTAAAGTCTGGAAAGTATAACTCAGATTGCGGTCCTCTAAGTGACAAGTAAACAAGGTTTTATGAAGAAGATAATTTTATCGTATATGGATTGGTATATGTCGCCGAGGAGGTGAGTGAGCGAAAAGTTCTTGAATAGATGGGAATAAGATTCCAATCAAAAGATATGGCTAGTCATGAGCGGACATTAAGCACAGTGTACTGAGAGAAGGAGGGAAGAGAAACATACAGATGGCTTTCTATTACTATTAAATATATTTTAACATCAATCCTCATGCTGCTTTAAAGAGAAGATTTAGCCTGCATGTTGTTTTTTGCAGTTTGGTCCAAGATGATAGTTCAAGTTAATCTTTTGAGTAGCGTTTTATACAGTTTCATGTAAATCATTGCATATCGAAGTATCAATATTCTCTATATAATAAAAGGTGTGTACTTTTTCTGGCAAAAAGTTAGAGAGTGTCAAATATATATCTTTGGTTTCTTTAATACCTGTTAATTTGATTACATAAATTTGTATAAATGTTGTACGCTAAAATGATAAATACGCGGACCAAGTAAATCGTGCATAGTAAAGAATTGATTGTTTCTTAGGTCTTTTTGTCATTCCTTTCAGCTGGATTTATTTATTTATACTATTTAATATCTATAATGATTTGCGATAGGCTATCTGTTAAGAAAAAACAAAGTTCATTGTTATATTATGATAGGTATTTGTGTTTAAAGCAATAAATAGTTGTTTGGTGTTTTTCATTTTCTAGTAATGTTGTCTTTCTGTGACAGGTAATTGCTTGACATACACTGGCTTTTGAGTGCCCCCACTCACAAGGCAAGTAAGGCATATTTTATAATGCGCAATATACATATATATGCAAAGTATCTTGTGTAACTAATATTGTCCTTAGATAGTTCTTCTCTTCTTTATTTTTTCTGATATATATCAAGATGCTTCAAGTGTAGAATAATATTTGAGCTATATACTTAGATTATGCTATTGCATATAACGATTTTTCGTTGCTACAGACACAAGTGGCAACACACAAGTTTTTCTAAAATCAATTTTATGAATTATTTGTCTAAATTAATATATCCACACAAATTGCTTATTTATAGAATGGCTAACCAAACAAAGTTTATCCAATAGGTGTGATAATAGTTCAGATGACTAGTATAAAAGTGAAAACTTCGCTTGTCGATGTCTATCACGACCATGGCAGCATTTTTTTCATTTGTTATGTCACAGAGACTCCTGATTTCCTCCTGGGAGAAACTGACAATAGAGATCTTTGAGAAACAAAGAGAATAGAACACAATGCATTGTGGCTAAAACGCCATTTCAGCAACTTTAACGATCACATGTTCGCTCTCCGGATTGTATTATGACAGTTACACGAGATCGGCGTGCTCTAACTACTATTGTTAGACACTTAACACAATGTTGGCGATATTTCTAGTAATCATTTTTTAAGGACTCGGGCGGGACTTGGTTCGGCTATGGTTTGCTATACATATGTTGGGCCGGTCTTTGATGACTTCCAGGCGGCATTATTTGATACATGTATTGCCCATACCTTGCGATCCACAACTGGGTATCTATTTTCACAATCGCGTTTTGCTTGTCACTCAATCGGAAATCGAGACGTTTACTTCAGAGACCGTATATGTAATAGTCACTTCTTGATGTGGAAATACTGTGATCAGACCTCGTATAAGAAGCTATTTAGCGTGTCAACATTGTTTTTGTAAAAATTGGTTTTGCCTCTTTTTTCACAAGAGCACAAATATATATCACATAATCTTCATGTGTAACCGCAAAAATTTGTCTCTTGCTAGCGTCCTTGAGTGTGCCTACCTAATGATAATGCTTAGGTAATAACGGGAATCGTTATGGATGGAGAATTGAATCTATCTGTTTAGATAGTAAAAAAGAAATGATGAACCCAATTGTACAAGACCTGCACAAATTATTTTATATCAGTTAGCATGAAAACATTATTGTGACAAAAGTGTCCTATCATATTCTTTGTAGCGATTTGTGGGGGGGTGGGGTGGATGGGCCGGAGGGGAGGGGGGGGTTTAGTTGGTCCATTGGAAGGTGGGTCTTGTATCTATTTGTGCCGTGTGAGCCTCTGTATCAAGCGTGGTTCAATCAAGAAGCCTTATCAGTGAGAAACTGAAACAATGTCATGAAAATTGTTAGATTAATATTTACATTGTTTTTATCTCTCAATATTTGAGAGAAAATTTCATACTAATCCTCGATTGTAACGCGAAAAAGTTGGGTTCCATGGCCCTAACCTTGCCTCAACGGTAGCAATAATAACTCTGAAACTCTCGCGTTGTCTTCGTTTGAGATAGACGTATATTATTACGATCTTCTTTTGTGCTACTCATAACGTGCTTGTTTTAGCCTTTAAAGTGGCATCTCATAGATTGCGGAGTAGGTCAAAACGCTGCATCATTGTATGAGTGTTGGGGTATTATGGCGGCGGAGATACTCTAAAGACCCCCACTCTAAAACCCGTTTTATTGTGAGCTATTCAAGCGTTGACCTAAACAACACATCACTAATCGGGAGAAATTCTCCTATATTCACTATGTGGAATATTTTAAGACTATCTTGAAATAAATTTGTCTACTGTTCTTATTAACTTTTGCAATTGGGTTATATATTCTTTGCGTGGTTAGATGTGACTCGAACTCTTGATCATGGTCTTTATCGAAATAATCTTATTCTAAACCTTTGCACAGTGGAATATCATGGACCATTATCATAAGAATATGTAATACGCTCATCACAATGCAATGTATTAGTGCCCTATTCTTTTAAAATACCTTTGTCTTCTAGAAGTTTGCTTGTACCCCACATACACGCGTTTGAATTATTCTTTAAGTGCCACAAAGCAGTGAATATACAAGTTATCTCTAGCCTCACCAATTATATTATTTCTATTACAGTGTCTTTAGAATATTTCTGACTTGTTTGACACTCATACGTCTCTTACGTAAGGAGGTGTATTTTATAAGCTATGCTCTCGCTATATATACAATTTCTGGTAGCATCTATCTTTTGGTGATAATATACATAAACAGTAAGATGCCGCAATGGCAGGTAGATTTAGAGTAAGACTAGTACATAATATTTATCTTTTTTCACAGTCTAGTTAATGACCCAAGAAAACAGCTCAAGAGTGTCGAAAAGTATGGAGCTCGGTAAGTGATAAAACGGTCACCTGACTTTTAATTACCAATCTCACTGTCGCGCCTATAAACATATGTCTGAGCCTGCATTTCTAAAAAACGTCGGGAAGATGGGCGTATTCAATTGACAAAGTTAGGACTACCAATTCATCCTTTTACCTTTGCATCTTCCATAAGTGACTTTTTTGACATATGTGTTGACACGCTAGTTCATTCAGGAAGCGAAATACAAGGTTATGTAAATGCCTGACATATGATAAAGACAACAGACACGCTACTTATAAAAAGTATTTAATCTCATTATCTCCAATATATGTAGTTTACCTATTGCACTGGCATGGGTTGCTCCATAGCTCAAAGACTCGTGTGCTCCTGTGTTAGAAGTGATTTGGAAGTGAGATGCAAGATCTCGTAGAAAATTATTAGCATAACTATATATACAGATTATATTATCCGTCATTTTTAAAA